CATCACAAGAAGAAGGGTGAGTACAGTACAATAAGATATTTGAGAAAGAGACCACATTCACATAACTTTTATTACAGTATATTGTTATTATTGTTCTATTTTATTATTAATTATTGTTGTTAATCTATTACTGTGCCTAATTTATAAATTGCTCTTTATCATAGGTATGTATGTATGTATGTATAGGAAAAAACGGTATAGATAAGGTTCGGTACTATCTAAGTTTTCAGGTATCTATTGGGGAGGGGGTCTTAGAACACATCTTCCATGGGTAAGAGGGGACTACTGTACTATCCTAAATAACTTCTAAGTTTTTTTTAATAATTACTGAATTACTGTTACAATGAAAACATGCCTTTAAAAAAAGCTATTTAACAGAGTTTATCTCAACAATAGAATCGACTGTAAATTGATTTTTGAACAATGTTTTTTGGCTTGCCCCCATCCCCCAAATTACCATAGTTGTGTCAATTTGTTTGTCTTGTATACCAATGACTCTAAAGTAGTTTCCTGGGTATGGCACTAGGGAATAACACAATTGTTTAGCAATGTGACTGTAGTTTGGGGGAAGGGTATATGCTTCTAAGACTTTGTTTCTTTTGTATAGACAGGACTCTCTCTTGTACCAAAGTTCTGGTATATGGAATATTGTCTTGTCCCATGTCAATTCTTTGTCTTGTTTCCTTGTACAGAATCCCAGTTACTCTGGGACAGTGTCTTAGTTTCCAGTCCTGACCCTGTATCCAAATTCCTATGTCAAGGTTTCTCTTACATGCTGTTGAACCTTGGCACCATGACCTTAAATTTCTATCTTTTGCCTTTTCCTGATATCACTTCCTTCAAAGAACATACAATGTTCATCTACTGTGACTTTCTTCTGTGACCTATGGACTATATTTTCACTCTTGTGTGTTGCTTGCAACATCCTTTTGCACAACTGACTACATGTCTGTTCAGTACCTATGAGTCTGTGAAGCTTCTGAGTCTTGGTCAATACTATTTTGAACTGTCTTCCTATTACATGAGTCCCTCATAAGCCATCTAGCTTGAGGAACTGGGCTATCATGCAGGATCCTGGTTGAGATAAGTTAAATCATCCATTTATTCATTTGTAAGCATTTATTTGTTAGGTTAGGAGATCATCTACTATTTGTCAGGCCCTGTGATTATAAAGTCTAAGAAGTCATGATCCTTTTCCTTAAGGAATGTAGAACCTGCAAGAGAAATACACCACAGTACTTATGTCAAGGCTAAGATGGTAATGTACAGGGTCCTAAGGACACACAAAGGGAGGGGCATTGGTATCAGACTGGGGCATATGTGAGGGTAAGAAAAGACTTGAATGTGACCATTGAATGGTTTTTAAGTGCAGGTAGGCATTAGCTACATGGGAAGAATGGGAGAAAGGCATTTTCAGGTAGAAGAAATGGTATGCTCAATGTCACAGTGGGTTCTTGGAACTACAAGTTGTTCAAAATGGGTATAGTGTGAATTGCACTTAAACGGGAATGGTGGTAAATGAGGCTGAGGAGGTGTAACAGGAGGCAGATAGTGAAAGACTTTGTATATTAAACTATGATTCAACCAATTTAGTATAGTCAATTCTCACTCGCAGTAGCTATGATTTATAAAGTTGCTGTGAATGCTGATTTAGCAAATACTGAATCATTGCTCCTAGGTTCCTGCCTGCCTTTGGCCACATTTCATTGATGGCTCAATATATAACTTCGTTTTATGTGTGTTTATCTTTAAAGACACCTTATTTAAAATACATTGTTGATTCATCAATATCGAACTCATGGCCATGAGTTATAACTCATGTCTGAACAAAGCTTATCTAATGTATATATTTTCTTCATAAGGCACATCACAAGTTCTTGCACTTGGTAACACTAGACAGCACTTCAGCACTAGGAGGATATTTTTAAACAGCAAAATCATTTTTTAAAAAGCTGAAAATGTGGCTCTAAATAAACCACAAAAAGGAAATCTGTTCGTAGTATCAGAGCTGAAAGAAGATAGCAGAGCATCACCTTGTTCAGCCCCAGCTAGAAATGTGTGTTGGGCAACTCAAATTTTTTACTGTTCTGTTAGCATCCACCAATGACCATGAAAGCACCATGAGTCTTAATTTGAGGGTTATAGATAAATTGTAGCTAGTAAGTGAATTTGCAAATATGGAGCCCGTGAAAAATGAGGATTGACTATATTACCAACACAGTGGCTTGGGGAACTGTAAAATCTCAAGAGCCAAATAGACAAATGACTGTATCACCTCAGGCTCTGCAGGCATTCACCACACTTCATGTGACTAACATAACTTATAAAAAAATGATAAAATGATGAAGTAAATATTGATACATAAATTGTTAACTTTATTATCTGGCTCCAATATAGCCTGCCCACAGGTTTTTCATCTTGCCTTTGATAGAGGCAAAAGGAACAGGCAGTTATGGTTTTTGATTTCAGGTATGTCATGATTCTTTTCTGAGTCATTTGACTCACAGAATAATCCAGTTCTTCAATAAATCCTATCTGATTTGCCCTATTTGTTGGGTTTTTTTTTTAGTTTCAGGTATACAAAACAATGCAATAGCTATACTTTTCACCCCTTACAAAGTGACAACCCCCTCCCCGAGTCCACTGACCCCCACCCCCGATATCATATATATATATATATCTATTACAATTCCATTGACTCCACTCCCCACACTATACTCCACATCCTGTGATCATATATATATATATATATATATATATATATATAAATTATAGTTGACATACAATATTATTCAACATCAGCTTCAGGTGTACAGTGCGGTGATCAAACCTCTACACTGTCCATGAAGTGGTCTCCCTAACAAGACATGTGCCCATCTGACACCTTACAAAATATTTACATTATTAATTATATTCCCCAAACTGTCTTTCATATCCCTGTGGCAATATTGTAGTTGCCAGTTTATGCTGTCTAATCCCTTCTCCTTCTCCCTCATCCCCACCCCACTCCCAACTAGCAACCATCAGTTTTTCCTCTATATCCCTGAGACTATTTCTGTTTACTTTGCTCATTTATTCAGTTATTTAGATTCCACATATAAGTGAGGTCATATGCTATTTGTCTTTCTCCGACTGACTTATTTCACTTAACATAATGTTCTCTAGGTCCATCCATATAGTTGCAAATGGTGAGTTCATTCTTCTTTATAGCTGAGTAATACTCCATTGTGTAAATGTACCACAGTTTCTTAATCCAGTCGTCTACCGATAGGCATTTCAGTTGTTTCCAAGTCTTGGCTATTGTAAATAGTGCTGCATGCCCCACTGCTTTTAAAGTGTTTACCGATTTGAAAAATAGGGCTTCATGTAACTGGAGTCAAACTGTTAGTTCTGTATTTATTTTTAAAAACACATAACCTTTTTTTTGCTTCATTCTGCATTTAATAGTTTCATTCAACCATGTTTTATAAGCAGATAATCTGTATGGGTCCCTGTCCAATTGCACCTCGAGTTTTAATTTTGTTCTTAAGGTGAATGTGTATAGAAGATGAAGTTTACAGATATTTGGAAAAAAGACAATGAGATGCATCTGGAGGCATGGCTTTATCCAACTCTGGGTCAATGAATTTAACTATTTGGTCCCAAATCTCATTCCTTTTCCCAAGTATGTTTTCATGGACTGTAGATGTTACCAAAGATAGATGTTGTCATCTATCAACTGAAAACGTTCCCCAAGATTAAATAATGTTTGAAAATAAAGTGGTACCATAGATGACATAAAAGACAAAGTGTAGGATAACAAAGGATAACATTAAAGTTTTCCACTTTCATGATTCAGTGCCTAAAAATACACTTTTGCAAAGCTTCTTAGATTCTTCCTCTTCTAAGAATGTCCTCATCATAGCACAATTTGCTTCTGGTTCAAAGCAGTTCCATAAAGCAAACTCACAGCTGAGTTAGGCTTACACTATGGTCAGTATTGGTTGTATAGAATGTGTGATAAGACAGATTAAAACCCCTTCCTAATAAAGAGTTTATCTGGGATGTTGATGTGCAGATTGAGTAACTTCCTTGTAAAAATTTTTAGTTTATATTCCCTCTTGTTAAAACTTTGATTCCAGATGGACATTTCCAAATATGTCATCTATATATACCTTAAAATACTGCTCCCATCTCTTTTTCCTTCTCCCAGCAAAAGAATCATTTATAATTCTTTTTATAAAGAGATAATCATCTAAAAAGCTTTCTTAAAGGTGGCAAAACTAGAAAGCAAATTAGTTTTATGATTTCAAAGAATGAGCTGACTATTCATTTATTATAATGTTTTGAGACTACTTTAGAATTCTCAAAGGAAGAATAATGGTCCAGTATAGTGCTATAAGTTTCCCTTCATGGACAGAGTAAGCCATCTAATCTTGACAGACTCAATTGTTTTTGATTTTCTGCCATGGACATCCATCACAGAAATAGAAGTTGTGATTAATAGTATTTTGTCCACTAACCAAAAGCATTTATAATGTATACCTGGAAAACATTCCAAAATGAAGGATAACATTAAAGTTTCAAAAATTTCAACAACTGAAAAATCAATGTCAGTTGAGGAGAAAAAGCTATAAAGATGCTTTTAGGAGAGATGGAAAATAAGTTTTTAGATTTTCATTTATTTTATGGAGATATTGGAAGAAAAAATCTTTAAAAGACTTGATGGGAAATATTTTTCCCATTTAAAAATAAAAATTATACCAGGAATTTACTTATGAATGTAGATGTTCAAAACATGTAGATTCTCTTAAATAGATCATTATAAATGTTTTATTACAATAGTTAAAGATAAAAACTCTAGAACGGTGGTGGTAGCAATGCAGAGACAGTACTATAAACTTAGAAAAACAGTGGTATTCAAAAATAGATACTATGTTTTACTAATTACAGGGAGTCACCTTTCCTCTCATCTTATATAGACTCATGAGATAAACACAAAACCGAGGAGAGAGGTGATGTACTAAAATGGTCCTAAAGCAGACTTGCAAACAGATTAATTAATTCAATTATTCATTTATTTATTCAATAAACAAATATTTGAGTTTCAATAACTGAAAAGGTACTGGGGATAGCCAAATAAGAAATAACCTCTTTCCTAATAGAGGAAAAGAAAATTAACATTTGTCTAGGGCAAACAAACTATGGCCAGGTACTCTACATCTTATATCAACTCTATGAAGTGGATATTTTTATCATGCCTCCTTTTGTATTTGAGGAAGCTGAACCTCACAGGGGTTTAATAAGTTGCCCAAAGTCACACAAATAGTAAGCGGCAGAGTTAGATTTCCAAACCCACTTTGTCTCCAAAGTCCCCTGTACTATGGTGCCTGTAATCTAGCAGGAGAGACAGAAACATACCCAATTACCTGTAACACAGATCAGAGACCGTGATAAATACTAGGAGAGAGGTATATGGGACCTCCTATGGGAGCATAGAGAAGGAAGTTGTTCATCTACTTGTCTCCAGGTCACTTCTGGGAAGCCTTCACAGAGAACCTGGCATTTGAGCTTGACCTTGAAGGTAAATGGGGGGGGGAGCATTTTAGGTAGAGACATAAACATGCACTGCAGGTTGAAGAAACAGCTTATAGTCCTGCAGAGCTGGGAATGGTATTTCTCACACTTGTATTCATACTGCAGTTTTGAATTTTAGATATTTGGCAGCACACCTGAACAATGCCATGGCCAGCAATCATTACAACACAATGAGTGTCATGGGCTTTGGAGTTAGGATACAGGCTTTGAATGCAGGCTTTATCACTTTCTAGTTGTTGGAACTTTGGAAAGTCATTTAAGCCTTGTTTGATCAAATGGGGATAATCAGCATGAGGCTGTTTTAAGGAGAATATGAGTAGCTACATGTAAACTCCTCAGCTTAGTATATAGCACATGGCATGCACTCATTAAATTGACTGTTAGGAATGCTACATCACAGTAATATCTGAGGATGTCTATAAGAGCATTCAGTTATTGCAGGATTCTCTTGGTTTCTCTTTGCATCATGGTATTGTTTGAAGAGAACTGTGTTGTGCAGTACTAAGCTCTCCTCTATATATACTCACAAGGCATAGTTTCAGGAACATTCTTTCCCGCTGGCTTGCTGTTTTGTTAGGCCTCTTTTACGCTCAAAAATAGAATCTTCTATATTGCAATGCAGGACCCACTTAACTTAATGTACAATTTGGCAGATATCACAGAATAATGTGTATGTTTAGGTTTAGCAAAACTATATTTTACCCATGTACCACTTTGGTGGTTGAGAACCAACTGTACAGAGTAGATTACATTGTGGGCGGGGGAGAGAATGATAGGAGAAGCTAGTCAGGTTATGGTCAGATTGGAAAGGAACTTAAATGCCACGCTGAAGAGTTTGGTTTTAATCCTACAGAAATGGAGAGCCATGGAAAAAACTGAAAGTAGGTGTGTGGACTGAATTGTGTCACCCCAAAATTCCTATATTGAAGCCCTAACTCCCCAGTGTAACTAACTGTATGTGTATTTGGAGATAGGGCCTTTAGGGAGGTAATAAGGTTAAATGCAGTCATAAAGGTGGGGCCTTAATATGGTAAGACTGGTGTCCTTATAAGAAGAGGAACAGACACCAGAGCTCTCTACTTCTGCCATGTGAGGACACAGTGAGAAGGTGGCCATCTATGCCAGGCAGAGGGGCTTTATCAGAAACCAACTCACACAGCACCTTGACCTCAGATTTCCAGGCTTCAGAACTGTAAGAAAATAAAATCCTGTTGTTTAAGCCCCGTTTTCTGTAGTATTTTGTTCTGGCAGCCTGAGAAGACTAATACAGTAGGACAGCAGCATAATTGGATTTGGGTTGTAGGAAGATAACTAGTGTGGAGAATTGCTTTGCATCCTCTTTGTCTGGTCAACTCTATAGTCTTTGCAACTCAGCTCCTTTGGGAAGAGTTCTTGATTCCTTAAGCTTGATTTTGTTGTTCTGCAGTATGTTCTCATAGTTTATGTGCATACATCTATCATAATTAAATCTTATAGGTATTGACTTTAATTGGCTGTCTCTCCCACTAGATTGTAAACTCCTTGAGATTAGGGACCACATCTTTTCTTTCCATTTCCAGCATCTAGTACAGTACTTGGCACAGAGTGGGTTCTCAACAAATACCTGTAGAATAAGGTAATCAGTAAGTTAATAGAAGACCCTGAGGCAAAAAAAACCCCAAACAATTCTTAGGCTACTAATATAATAGTCCATTAGCAGAACACCCACCTGTAACTCATATCATATTATCTTGTTTGACAATAGATGATACAAATTGATAACAGTTTGTCTTTAACCTTTTGTTTCTAATACCTCCCCAAAATGAAATTAAATGAAACTTTAACTCAAAAAATACTGAAAAAGTCAATTTTTAATGATTTTTACCTCACTGAAGTTTAGGCTGCCTTCCTCCTGTTAAGTCCTGGTATACATATACAGTACCTAATATCCTCAAGAGGGAAGAAAATGCTGACTATTTCTAATCACTTAATTTGTTTGGAGGAATCACCAATAGTCCACAAAGTGAATTAACATGATCAGCAAACTCAAATGCATTGTTCTGTAATTTATGTAGAATTCCCGATAAGTCTTTCAGAGTTTGCCAATATATCCAGTGATTAAAGACAGTAGGCCAAAGTGAATCCTCTGTCTTTGTTTTTATAGCACAGGAACAGTTATAGGAATGGAATTTGTCCATTAACTAAACAAAATGTTTCTATAAATCACTGCATTAATTGCTGAATTAAAGGCTGTGACTGCATCATGAAAAGCAAACAAAGGATATTGCCAAAAAAAGAGAAAAAAGGACATGTTCAGTTTATTTGACAATACCAATGTGTTTAATTTCAGCCTTTAGTAAAAATGGTTCTAGATGACAGAGTCATTCCTCTGATCATTTAGTTTGGACATATTAAGACAGTCAATTCTGTTCAGTTTTTCCTGTTCTTACATTATTTCTGTTCTTAAAACACTGTATATAGTTTGGGGCCTTACTGGATGAAAAGTCTGTGAATCTTATCTTTCCCCTCTAATTCTGTTGTTCGTATACATACTTGGGCTTTTGCGGAGACTGAGAATAGCCAAAGTTTAATATAATTTTTTAATCTTCAATTAAAATTTGAATAAAGGTTTTCCATTTGCTCAAGCAGACACACCAGAAGTAGAAAGTTTTTACATACATATGTTAAAAAAGAATAATTGGGATTATTTAGAAAGTGAAATGAAAATTAGATGACCTTCTGAAACATTGGCTTACCTTTTGGAGATATTTTTCTTTCTCTTCAGATTCCTGAATCTTTAGGGTTTCAGCAATGACATCTGTGCCCTCTAAAGAAAATAAAGTCAAATTCAATCCAAAATAATTTTATCATGTTTTATAATAATGTTGATATAAAATTGGGCAAAGATTGAAAGATTGATAGAGTAGGAAGGTAAACACAAATACGTACCGTCTTGAAACTTTATAAATCAGATTCATAAATAATCAGAGAGGGAATTAGTTAGCTATGGCTGCAGGGAACCTCTGATCTCTTTAGAGGATGAATAAGCCTGAGTTCAGAAGCAAGAAAAGGTCTCTAAAGAGAACATATTTGTACTATCAGAGATTCTAATTTCCACAGTGCTATTCAACATGTTACAGGAATTTAGGCATTTTTCTCTGGATAAATAGGGTGGATTCTGAGGTGTTGGTATTCAATTCAGAAAGTTATGCCAACATATAAAGTTGTATCCTTATACTTACTACCCGTTTTCTGAAGAATTTAAGAATCAGGATGTTGAAAGGCATAGAACTTGGTACTTACTGTTTTTCTCAAGGAAAAAAGACTGCAAGTAACATTTCTCTGAAAAATACAAAAGGAAAGAAATCATTGGAAACCCACAGCATTAAAGGTATTTAAGCTTTCTATACCTATAAAAATTGCATAACAATTTTTTTAAATTAAAATTTATTGGGGTGACAATGGTTAGTAAAATTACATAGGTTTTGGGCCGTCTGAGTGGCGTGTTGGTTAAGAGCTGGCTTGGGACGCCAGAGGGCCCCCGCTGGGATCCCACATATGAGGGCCACAGTGACACTGCCCTCCACAGCTAAGATGCTGAACAACAGCTCAACCTGGAGCTGGGCTGCCGTGAGTCGCTGGCGACGGCGTAGGCTGCAGCCCCTGCTGCAGTGGGTTGCCATGGGCTACCGTTGTGTAGCCAGCAGCCAGCGTGAGCTGCCGTAAGCGGCCATCCAGAAGCTGGCGACTGATCTGCCTTGCCTGGGAAGAGCACAATGATGGTGCCAACTTGGGCCAGTGAAGCAATGTCCTCCACAACTAGACTGAAGAATAAAAGGACAGCAACTTGTCTGTTCCCTTTCCCCCAATTCCCCAACGCTGTTCCCATCCCCCAATTCCCCAATAAAAATCTTAAAAAAGAAAAAATCACATAGGTTTCAAGTGTACAATTCTGTAATACATTATCTATATATCACATTGTATGTTCACCACCCAGAGTCAGTTCTCCTTCCATCACCATATATTTGACCTCGTTTACCCTCATCTACCACCCCCCTCCCCTTTACCCTCTGGTAAACACTATTGTCTGTCTATGAATTTTTGTTTCTTTGTTTGTCTTGTTCCTTTGTTGCTTTCAATTTTATATGCCACATATCAATGAAATTATATGGTTCTCGACTTTTTCTGTGTCACTTATTTTGCTTAGCATAATAATCTCAAGATGCATCCATTTTGTTACAAATAGCACTGTTTCATCTTTCCAAATAGAATTACCATATGACCCAGCAATCCCTCTCGTGGGTATATACCCGAAAATCTGAAAACATTTATCTATAAAGATATATGTGCTCTGATGTTCATTGCGGCTTTATTTATGGTGGCCAAGACATGGAAACAACCAAAATGTTCTTTGATAGATGATTGGATAAAGAAGATGTGGTATATATACACAATGGAGTACTACTCTGGAGTAACAGTTTTCACATCTTAGGCCTTACTAAGGTCTTACAGGTCAGGGAACTTGGTTCCAAATGTCGACCCTGTCTTCAACTTTTCTATAGAGATTTCATGTTTGAACTCAATTATGTAAACAACTATCCTTAATATCCTTTCAGCCAAGATATAACATTTCCTCAGATTATTCTATACCATTTGGCCAAATAGATGCCATAACCTAAGGGATACTTTATCTTAAAGTATATTTTATGCTTTTATTTATTTATTTATTTTTTCTTATGCTTTTAGATGTAACAAAGATACCACTGATCTTTTGGGGGTGAAGGATTGCTGAGAAGGTTTAAGAACTATTTCTATAGGGTTTTAGACATTTGAAATGAAAGATACATATTTTAGAAATAGATTCGATAGACAAATGCATCAAGATGTGGTACATATATATAATGGAATATTACACAGCCATAAAAAGAATGAAATCTTGCTATTTGCAAAAACATGGATGAACCTAGAGGGTATTATGCTAAGTGAAATAATTCAGATACAGAAAGACAAATACCATATGATTTCACTTATTTGTAGAATCTAAAAAACAAGAAAAACAAAACAGAAACAGGCTCATAGATACAGTGAACAAACTGGTGGTTGCCAGATGTGAGGGGGCGGGGGTATTGGGTGAAAAAGGTGAAGAGATTAAGTACAAATCTATAGTTACAAAATGTAACTGGGATGCAAAATACAGCATAGGGAACATAGTCAATAATATTATAGTAACTATGTAAGGTGTCAAATGGGTGCTAGACTTATGGGGTGATCACTTCCTAAGTTATATAAATGTCTAATCACTATGCTGTACACCTGAAACTAATATAATATTACATGCCAACTGTAATTGAAAAAAAAAGAATTATGTTGGGTAGTTTTTCTTGGGAGGGGTTCTGGGATTTTCCAGGTTCATTCTGATGGAGGCAGAAATCATCAAGTAGAGGCAGCTACTCACCAGGTGCACGGCTCTTGGAGGACCGTGCCACCGGCAGACGCTGACTGCTACCTCTGGACAGCACCAGCTGGGATTCGTTAGGAGGGTACATCGACGCCTGGATCCAGAACTGCTTGGCCAAGTTGGTGTCCTCTTCTGAAGAACCGGTGAACACCAGTAATCCCTGGGGACAAATTTCACAGGACTCCTTTCCGCTACTAGGACTTGCACTGGGCCTTGTTTCCATGGCAACTCAGGACGTTTCTCCAAGCAACTTGGTCCCTCTCCTAGCCCCGCCCCTCGGAGAACCGCTAAGTTGACAACAACCACCGGGAAGCCTTTAGTTTCCTCGATAGATGTTTGCGTCCATCTACCGCTGGTGGGCCATCTGAAGCCCACTTGTGCAGTGATCACAGGCTTTGGAACCAATCTTAGCGCTGGAGTCGAGATAGGAGAGTCAACACATCAACTTGGGGGTGTGTCTTGTCCTGTGGGAGTAAGTGGGGCAGCACTTCAGCTCTCATATCCTTTAGTCAACCTTCTACTCGCCTCCCTCGTTTCCAGCTGCCATCCCTTCAAAGATATCTACAAAAACTTTCAATTCCTTAGCTCCACGCCGCAATCTCCCCTTCCACACCAGATTGCCGTAGCTCAGCAACCCCTACAGGGAAGCGCTGGGTCGGCTTTGGATAAAGAATAGGGCAGTTAACATCCTATTGGGAGCTAGAGATATGACCTGGGCCAATAGGTAACCATGAATATAGTTTTTGTTATACATTTCCCCCCTGAATCATTTAAAGACAAATCTTAGGAAAGAAGCTAGATTTAGATTGTAACTGTATTTACTAATCAGTCCCACCCACTAAAAGCTGCCTAGACTGCAACAGTTGGAAATGATCACTTAAAAAAAGGAACATATTTGATGGGTGGACTCAGTCCCTTCATGAAAAATAAATTACGAAAACTTTTGTTAATGCAGTCTTATAAAAATATTAACAAGTGCTTGTGAATAGCTTTCCCAGGAGATTTTGTTAATTTAGGAACAATTTAACCATTTCAGTCGTAGGAAAGTTGTAATCATGGCAGGAGTTGAGATGATCCTCAAAGGCAATTTAGGAAAGGAAATGGACACAGGATAATAACTTATGATGTTATGACACTTTATTCTTTGAAAATATTAATACAGTCTCATAGAAAAGATGCTTCAGAAGTTGATAATCACAAGCCTATACACCACAGATCAGCTAAGGACAATTTTCTACTTCCCAATCTGAAAATTTTCTGGTTAAGAGCCTGAAGGAACGTTGAAAAAAAATACACATATATTACATATGTTGTATATTTAGCAGCTAAAATGTTGATTTCTTTCTTGGCTGAGCTAATATTAGCTATGTCAACCCTCCCACCCCCATACACATTGATGTACACAGGAAGCTTCTTTGGATGAACTCCTAAATCTTTTTACCTGGCAGTGTAGTTAGTGATTGGTACTATTAGCAATCAGCTAACTACACTGCCTAGTAACGAGACTCACAGGAAAAGAAAAAAAAAAAAGGTTTACTTTCATCACAAACTGCCGTCTCGGGTTGGCGCCCCCATGCATTTGTGAGAAGAGGCAAATCATTGGTTCAGCTGTAGCTCACTTTAGTTGGAGGGTTCATGAATGCCCAACTAAATAATGAAAAATAGTCACAATAAAATCTATACAGCTTTAAACGTTACCTGGGGGCTCCTCCCAGCAGTTTAAAAGTCTAATATCTTACAATGAAAGCCATTAAATTCCACAGATTTCGCTTTCCTTACACGAAATCGCGCACACTTGCTTCTACTCTTAGAGAGGGGAACAGTTTAAGCGTATCTAGAAGCAGCAGCCCGCCGGAATTTGCAGGGGGTTTACTCGCACTTGGACAACGCGCTCGCCGAGCGGCGCAATGCCGACCAAATGCTGACGCATCAGATCTCGAAGGGCAGCTTTCTCCTCTCAAACGCTTCAGGTCGGCCGTTTGTCGCCGAGGGCGGCGTCCTCCTCCCGGCGGGGCGGCGGCTGATGCTGTGCCTTGTTTTGATGGCAGTGGAGTTAGTGATTGTAAGCACCAGAGTACAATCAGCTAATTACACTGCCTACAAACCGAGCACCGGGCGCCCGTGGGCTGCAGCTCCCTGACGGTCCGCAGCGCCGACGCGGTGTCCCCAAGCCCGCAGGCCCGGGATTGGGGCCCACCTAGACCCCACACTTCACTGGGGCGATGCCCGCCAGTGCCTGGGCTTGAGGGTGCCCGGAGGACGCCCCGGGTCCACTGGAGGCTGTCGCCCGGCGGGCAGGCTGCGCTGCCCCCACGGGACTAGCCGCTCACACTTGGCGTGGCACGGCCAGCGGGCGGCGCTCCAGAGGGGACCTGCACCCCCTGTGCCGGACCCCAGCCCCAGGTGACTCCCGGGAGCGCTCGGCTGGCCGGCTTCACCTTAGCCGCGGAGTCCCGGCTCCCGGCCTCCGCTGTCCCGCAGTCTCCCGCACCTCCCAGGGCCCTCCCCGCCAGCCTCCCTTCCCTATTCCTTTCCCCTGCGCTTTCTCGGGCCAGGCTCCCATCTCGCTCACTACCAGTCCAGCGGCCCCAGATAACTTCTCTGCAGTTAGTACCCTGGCCAAACTCTAGAGCCAGCTTTCTCAACCCCGCGCGCCCCGCAGCTCCCAGCGGCCGAGTGACCGTGGCCTCCGCGGGCCAACCGCCCTTGGAACCCCGCGGGGAGAGGGGCGGGGCGGGCGCGATGGGGGTGGGGAGGGAGCTGCGAGAAGGGGCGGAGGGCGGGTCTCTGTTGGGACAGAGGCCCGGGAGACCAAGGCTCAGCTTCTTGAAAAGTTTCTCTCCCTGGTATCACTAAGGACAAAGAGCTCCTTCTCCCCTCCTCCTCCTCAAGAAGCCCCACAAGCCCACTTTTCATGTCCACAGGGAAGACAGCTTGTCAGGTACCAAACTGTAGACTGAATTTTCCAAATGGAGATAGGCCTGGGTACCCTGTGACATGCTGGAGGACTGCCTTTGAAAGTCCCATCTGCACCCTTGCATTCCCCTTGGGCTCTCCATTATAGTCTTGGAGGACCATGCAGTGAGGTGGAAGGCTGGATCTGCTAGTCAAATAGTGAGCCATCCGGCCCGTTAGTTGGACCAAAGTGTGGTCCTCTTGAGATCAAGGTCACAGTTTTGTACTCTCAAGGTCTGTTTTAGACAAAACTATTCCTACTTCCAGTACATTTAAATATTTAAATTTATTATTAATTTAATATTAAATTAATAATATTTAATATTAAATATACAAATATTTATTTAAATACCTGCTATGTATTCAGCACCCAAAGTCATTCACTACACCCACCATATGTACAATCTTGGTGGCAACGAAGTGAACACATTATTTACCGTTCAAGACAGTGCATAATAAATTACTAACCTGGGTAGAAACAGAAGGGTGGGGCATTGAGAACTATAATTGGTCAGGGAGGTTTCATGGAGGTGACACTGAGTAGGTCCTTTAGCAAGACTAAATTTGGACATTTGGGGTAAGGACTGTGGAGGCCAGAGAAACAATGTCTTGTGACCAGTTACATTTTTTTATTCTCACAATTCCACATTTGATGATGTAGATGTGTTTATATATGTGTATTTGGAGTAGATTGGGCAAAGAGGACAATTACAGATTTCTGGGAGACGCCTATTAATAATTCTTTCCTTTAGTTACTCTATTCCCCCCGCCATTTCCTTCAATGAATGATTCAGAAGAGGATAAAGAATATTCTCTGATTACACACTTTGTGGAACTCAACTGGAAGTTGCTCCCCACCCCCAATATGGTCTTCACCAGTGTAGTGCACCCATTGCTGACCCCGAAAGCTTAGTTCTAAATTGTTTCCACAAGGGAAAACTTCCTAGCTATATAGAGGGTGCAAAAAAATGTATATACATTTTAAGAAAGGAAAAAGTTGTTAAAATTGTAACAATATATACTGATAACAAGTCACGTTTGACTTCTGCAATTACAAGAGGGGCTCAAAATGGTTACCATCAGTGTCCAGACACTTCTGATTATGGCGAAACTGCTTGAGCAATGTTGTCCAAAGTGTCCACTTGTATACATTTTTTGGGCACCCCCGGTAGATTGATTTCCTAAACCCAGCAAATAGTCCCATAGATGCCGCTAGTAATATGGATAGGGTCAGATCACTCAACACAGATTCCAAACTCACACTATTAAAATACCAGAAGAACTTCCCAAGGATGAGTGTGAGCAAGTTATAGCATTATCATTGAATATGAAAGCATATTTTTTTTTGCCAAATTCACCATTTGTTCTGTGCACACCAAAGTGAAGAGTAAGAAACCAAAGTGAAGTATAGAATGTACAGTATGGAAAATGCTAATTGTAAAAATTAACTAGTAAAGTTAAATTGCAAAAGACGGGTTCCTTACAACTAGCTATAATTTGTATTCATCTTGTCTTTGGGAGAGGCACAGTACTGTACAGCACATTATATTAATCTCTCACTCTCCTTTAACATGGGCAATATACCAAGCCATACCAGGCAGCACTAAAATCAGAGCTAATTAACTTCTCAGCTCTCTAGAGATAACTACACAGCCAATTTTGTATTTTATATTTAAATATACACATATAAATAAAATCAGGAGTGAAATAGTCTCCATTCCATTAGCAATTTTCCAACTTATAAGTCTTGATTAGGACATAGTTACAAAAACAATTCTGTTCTTTCAAATTGTTAGTCATTTTTACCCAATACAAGATTTAATATCTCTTCCTGATTGATGTTTTATGATTATTAGTTGCATCTTACATGTCTTACCTGAGCTGGATTGTTGCCATCCAAGGCAATAGCTGCAGCAGATGCCTTGAAATTTAGATTTTTAAAACTTTTCTTCAAAGATAATGAAAAACAAAAAAACCCTCACATATAAAAGTCATCAAGATGCATCGCCTACTGCAATGAATTGTTTGAAATGCAGTTTATTTTGTAGGTAGTACAACTAAAAAGTGAAATAACGAGAAAAAATGTGTGTGGCCTAGTTCTGTCCAAGAGAAAGAGAGAGAGAGAGAGAGAGAGAGAGAGAGAGAGAGAGAGAGAGAGAGAGAGAGAGAGAGAATGCTTGTTCTTAGGGTTGCTGTTGATTTGGCCTGCAGTTACTAGAGAAACTCCAAGGATCTCATTCCCTTTATGGTTCATGTCTAGGCATGCCTGGAGACCAGGGAGACCCATGATTTTAATCTAAGTAAGAATGCTTGTGGTGTTTAAAATGCCCAAACAGAAGATTGTGTTTGTTTTAGACAGCACTAGGAAGGTACCTTTCAGGGGAATTGTTTACTGTTTTATTTAATTTCTGGGCTTTTGGTGAATAGGAAGATGAGGAAGGGGCACTAAGGAAAGGAGGTGAGATTAGTGATTAGGAGGGAACCAAGAAGAGTACAGAAAATGAATACCGTCTGCTTTAGCTTTGGCAAATTTATATTGGCTAAACTGACCACTTGTACATACAAGACTGGAGTGGTGAGAGTTGGGAATTATAAAAGATGGAGACAACTTACTCTCTCAACACATATGAACGCACCATCTGAACATTTTCTATCTTCCGTAGCTTTTGAAGGATGTTGTTAGGGAGTAAGAAGTGATGAATCAGACTGATTAGAAATTATTGGAGTTTAGTGGTTTTTTTTTAAACGTGTTTTTAAATGCATATTTTCTTAGGAAATATAAAACCATGTTTTGTTTTTTATATAGATCAATAAATGTCAGATTATCTTATTAACATTCATGATAATATATTTAGAAACTAGTTTATATATTGAAAAAAGACTAGATTGAAGTAAACTAAGTGCCTTTGAAGAACTAAACATCAATGAATCTGTTTAATTATGAGAGGAGATATTCTCTATAGCTAAAATGACTTGCCAGCAGTTTTTATAATTTTATACCTTTGATTCCATTTCATTGTACTCTCATTAGTAAGAGTGCACCAGATTCTTAATTAGCTTCTTGTTTATCCTTATTTATTAATCAACAATGTTGCTTTCAATATGAAAATGTTAAATTAATCTTTTAGTAAATCAGAGATAATCTAAAACTAGGCTTTATAATTAAAGTTGCTTGAGTCCTTAGTTATGGCTTAGCAGTAGGAGCAAACATGTTGCATATTTACATCTTTAGAGAACCCAGTCTAGGGACTTATGGTCTAGTTGGAGAAATACACAATTTGTATACATAGATAATTAATTGAAATAGATATAGTACAGTTGTCCCTTGGTATACTTGGAGGATGGGTTGCAAGACCCACAATGAATACCAAAACCTGCAGATGCTGAAGTTCCTTATATAAAATGTAGTATTTGCATATAACCTATGTACACACTCCCGTATACTTGAAATTATCTCTGGGTTACTTATAATACCTAATATAATATAAATGCAATGTAAATAGTTGTTATACTGTATTATTTAGGGAATAATGACAAGAAAAATATGTACGTGTTCAGTACAGACATAATCATCCTAGACCTAACTACATAGTACAGGTCAGCAACAATGTAATGTTTTTTAAAAACTATTTTTTTTTTTTTTTTTAGCTGAGCCATCCTGCTACCTATTGGCAGCTCAGCGGCAGCTCAGCGGCAGCTCAGCGGCAGCTCAGCGGCTGCTCAGCTTGGGCTGGACTCGAACCGCCGTTGCTCAGAGCTCAAACTCTTGAGCAAGCTCTTAACCAACTGAGCCACTCGGCCGGCCCTTTAAAAACTATTTTTGATCCATGGTACGTTAAATCTGCAGATGCAGAACTCATGGATATGGAGGACCGATGTGTATTAATTATTATTAATATGTTCAATATAATAATTTTAGGTATTATTTAGATAGTTATATTACATGTAATTATATTAAGTACCAAGATGGTATTTAATTATGATGTGTTTAGGTTTAGGCCTGTTTAATTTTAGGTAACGGAAGGACATTGTGGTGGAATTAGATATACGGAACTAGAACTCTAGAAAGAGGCCAGAACTGAAAACAGAGGTTTTGTAGTTTTCTGAAGTTGTAATAGTTGAAGTTGCTAGGATAAATGAGATCTCCAAGAGAGCTACGTTGTCTTCTTTTTCACTGACCCTCCAGCACCTGCTATGGTTCACTCAGGACAGAGTAGACGACTAGTGGCAATGTGTTCTTGAATAGGGAGTAGAGGGAGGAAAGCAGAAGGCTCAGTACCAACTTTGAAGTATCCATCTCCTATTTAGGGGGCAGCAGGAGGAAGTAAACCTTGAGAAGGGTTAGCCCATAAGGAGAAACAGAAGAGAGGACTCTCATAAAAGCCACGCTGTTTTAAACGGGGTCATATACACATATGATTTCAAGGGTAACTGCTGCCTCGGCACCATCGCATCCTAAGGTTTGGTCAGTAGAATTAGCCATCGGACAGCAGGTTCTGCCAGAACGTTTTGTCTCAGCGCCTTATTCATGAGTCAGCAAAGTGTCCATGAACTTCTCTAGGCTACTAATAAATAGATTAACTTTCATGGCCGCTTCTCACTACGTGACTGCCTCTGTCACCTGTCCAAAAAACCTCGACTAGATTTTCAAGGTTTATTAAGGTAATTTAAGGGTTTTAGTATAGCCAACAAGTGTTATAGTCTGGTGCGCAGTTGAAAGTTAGTGCGTAGTGAAGAAAGCTCCTTAAGAGCTCTTGGGGGGCCAGCCAAGTGGGTCAGTTGGTTAAGAGCGGGAGCTCTGAGCGACAGTGTCGCCGGTTTGATTCCCACATGGGCCAGTGAGCTGCGCCTGAGCTGAGCTGCTGCTGAGCTGCCAACAGGCGGCAGGATGGCTCAGCTGGTGAGAGCACATGCTCCTAACAACAAGGTTGCCAGTTTGACTCCGCATGGGATGGTAGGCTGTGCGCTCCCCCCATTTCGCCCCCCAGCAACTAAGATTGAACACAGCACCTTGAGCTGAGCAGCCCCGAGCTGACGAGGGGCGGCAGGAGGGCGACTGGACTTGGGAGCTGAGCTGGCTGCGCCCTCCACAACTAAGACTGAAGGACAACAACTTGGCTGTTCCCCTTCCTCAATTTCCCAACACTGTTCCCCTCTCCCAATTCCCCAATAAAATCTTTAAAAAAAAAAAAAAAGGAAAAGAGCTCTCAGATGTGTTCTGTAATTCTATGAAGCCAAAAGGAAGATGTTGACTGATTATCTTGTTAATTAATTCATTTACAAGAATGAAAATACTTTATGCTATCCTTTTGAGCATCATTCTATGTCTAGTTATTCTTGTTTTGATTTTTACTCATCCCCTTTTGGCACTTAATCCTTTTTTTCTAGGTGGAATTTATATTTTTTAGTCTTAAAACATTACATAGCTCTCACTTGTTATCTTTATTTCCTCTGTATTCATAGAATATGTCTCAAGTTTCATCATGCTTACATTTAGTAAAGTTCACAGTGTCTTTCCCCTCTTAGCTCGTTTATAGCTTGTTTAAATCTCAAGCTCAAATCCTACTTCATGGGTAAAATCTTCTTGGTACCTTTAGCTCATCTTGATTATTCTCTAACTCCCTTTGCACTTAATCTATTCGCTCTACAATTAGTATCTTCCTTTAGTAAGAGAGTATTATTCTCCAATATCTAATTGCATTTTGAAAAAAAGCATTTTATTATAATAACAGAGTGTGCTGGTATTAGTACAGAGCACTGTATATGCATTTTCTTACACCCTGAATTATCTTTAGTGGACTATCTTTTTTTAAAGATTTTATTGGGGAATTGGAGGAGGGGAACAGTGCTGGGGAATTGGGGAAGGGGAACAGACAAGTTGCTGTCCTTTTGTTCTTCAGTCTAGTTGTGGAGGACATCGCTTCACTGGCCCATGTTGGTATTATCATTGCTCTCTTCCCGGGTGAGGGAGTCGCTCGCTAGCCATTGGATGGCTGCTCACAGTGGCTCATGACAGCTCACGCCGGCTGCTGGCCGGCCCTACTGCAGCGTACGCTGTCGCTGGCGACTCACAGCAGCCCATCTCCAGGTCAAGCTGTTGTTCACCATCTTAGCATCACTGGCCCTCATGTGGGATCTGAACCCTGGCCTTGCTGCTCAGAGCTGGCGTCCCAAGCCAATTCCTAACCAATGTGTCACTCAGCCGGCCTTTAGTGGGCGATCTTGGTTTCGAGCTTGGCGCATGATATATATACATATTTGCATGCTCTAGCACAATGCCACTTACATTATGACTGCTCAATAATGCACATAGAAAATACAAATAAAGTAGGGAAAATGCTTGTTGTAAATAAGCACTTGTATGGTAACTATGAAAAAGAAGCATCATATAGCTTAAGGCTCATTTAATTTATCAGTAAATGAATTTCACTTAGTAGATTAGGCAGCTCTCAACTTAATTTCTTTTGGGTTCAACATTGCATGACTGTACAATTTTATTAGGTAACATTTTGACATATGAATTTTGTTTCACTAATTAATGTAATTTCCTGAAGGTGGTTTGAACATAATGGGACTGAATTCATGCATGGGTTGTAGAATAGTTTATTGCTATATAAAATGGTGCTACTTACCCGCTGTTATAAAAAAAAATACAGTCTGTCAGAAGTGGGGTTTTTGCTAAAACATCTATATTTTTTCATTCATTAGCAATGACATGCATTTGTAAATGGATAAATGAGCCTAGGGATGTAGTTTGCAACTTAAGGAAGTAAAGCTAATGAAATCAAATAGGTCTGATTATAAGACTGGCTATGACAGCAAAAGCCTAGTGAATTTAATTGTTCAATTTAGATGATATTTTAAGTTATTTGCCTATTTTAAACTCTTATATGCAAAAATATTTTCATTTTATAGCTGAAGTTTAGATAAAATCAAGAAGACAAATGTAGAATCAGATTTTCAAGGTTTACTGTTACTGATGAACCTTGGGGCTTGAAGATACCTCAGTGATCAAGTTGAACTCCCTCAGTTAAAATGAAGAAATGCAGTTCTGGAAACTGTTATTTGTACAAAGTCATTTGGGTCATTTTCATGTTTAATACCATTTGATTCTCTGTTACAGGCTTAATGAGAAGGTAAAATATGTCTCTGACGCTCTCCTTCCTTCTGTTCGTCATCCCCATTCCTAATAGCCAGAAACCTCATGCTTCCTGTTTTCTGTGGTGCCTCCCCCAGGCTTCCTCCCCTCTTACACACATCTCCAGACAGAACATGATCCTTTTGGTCTACTGTGGATAACTCACTTGACAATTTCAAAAGGAAATCCTGGAAAGATGATGTCTTAATCAAGGGAATAAATGTTCTTATAATGGGAATTTTAAATACCACATTAAAACAGTGGAAGAGCTGTTTTTCGTCTTCAAATTTCAGTAACCAATTTCAGTAGCCACTTAACAG